TATATATATATATATATATATATATATTTTATATGTCATAAATATTTTAAGTCCATTTTACGCACCTTTGCCTATTGTGTTCGAATGATCATGTGACCGACTGTACTTGTGCCTCGACTCACGACTGCCCTTTCTGTTGACAGCATTGGTTGCCATTGGCATGGGCAATCTCAGTGTATCGGATCCGTCCTGAAAAGTTGCGATTGCAGAGCCTTCACTGTGCACCTCACCATCTTTGAACGTCTTTAATCTCATCTTTGTATTCACTGGTCCCATTCGAATGTGTTGAAGGTTTGAGCGGGCGTTTTATTGGGTTTGATATGATTGCAGTTCATGACACTAACGCTTTTTTTTTGTCTCATCAACTATCTATATAAACCATAGGTCTGTATATATGGTAGTATATACTACAAAGCTGTGCTAGTGTCACGTCGATTTTAAAGTATGCATCTGTCGCATGCATGTATGTGTCGAACGAAGTATTTATCATATGCATGTATTATACTTTCTAGCAGGATATTGTCAGAAGAACAGACGTGTTCTGCATCCACAGGCTACACAGTATTCGTCTACGCATTCTAAAGCTTTTTGAAATTGCTGTAATGGATTTTACCATGTATTTACCTATCTTTGACTTGTCTACCCCCGTCATATTTCATACCAACGAGTCTGTTCGCCGTTGCATCGTTTCAAAAATATCTGTAGGTTCGTGTAACAATTTATTAGCAGCAGCTCATTCAGTGGTCACTGATCAGTCATTTCCTTTCACTTTTACTCTACTTTGTCTAAAATAATATAATTAACTATTACTGGTGGCAGTGGTGGGTATCACTGCATATTACCATACATTCTAAAAACATGCACCAAGCAATAAACATGCACCAAGCAATAAATATGCACCAAGCAATAAATATGCACCAAGCAACTCATCAGTGAGCGTCGTTGACTCGTTGCCACACAGGTTTTGTCACTTGTTGTAGGCGTAGCTGTTGTTTTCAGTTTTTATCCACTCGACAATTGATTTCAAAATAACGACACTTGAAAACCAATTCGAGGTGATCGGATTCTAATGTTTGAAATGTGTATTAAATGTAAATTTGGCTGTGGCTCTGGAACAGTTTTAATTTAAAAACATACAGAGTAAAAATAAAATACAAATTAAACATATCTTTGAAGTAGATTTATTCAAAGATATGCCTTGTTGACAATCACTTCGCATCTATTGGAAGAGATAGATCCTTTTCTGAGTCATCAACATTCATCATGTCACAGTCGTCACACCGTCAGACGTCAGTCCGTCCCAGACTTGAACTGAGGTCTGAGAACTCTTTCTGAACTCTGAAGTTTCAACTTTCAACTATGCAGTGTGGAGTGTGGACTCACTCTGGGGGCTGTGGAGTGTGGAGTGTGGAGAATGGACTGTCGCTGTGGCCTGTGAGACTAGTCAGACTACGAGCAGGTTTGCAACTCTTTAGTCTGCCGTCGCTCTGCTCTGTGCTCACTGGTAGTTCTGCACATTATATAATATATAGTGCACTCCATTTTTTTTTAAAACAAATATAGTGGCACTGGTCCTCTCAGTCTCTCTCTACTGCCTACACTCTACAGACTCTAATAAATGTCTTAAGTCCAGACTCCAGAGTCCAGACAGTAAATATGTATGTATTTAGCAAGCACAGCAGTGTCCAGTCTCCAGAGTCCAAGGTCCACAGAATTAAAAATATTAACACGTCCAGGTCCACAGCCCGGACGACTCGTCAGTTCTTGTAGGAGTGTAGGGTCACCTCTGGGCGGCTGACCACCTCTGGGTGTGCTCGGCTGGGTCCTGGGAGGCTGGGACCTGAGGCTGGGCCTTGGGAGTGAGTTGGGCGTCAAACCTCTATTAGTAGTATATAGTAGTAGAGGACTGGGCTACTGGTGACCACCAGCTGGGACGCCCGCTCTGAGCTGGACAAGTGGACTTATGCCTCTTGTGAATTTGTGATATTTATTACAAACCAAATCTCACGAGTCAAGACTCTCACAAGGAAGTTTATTTGAGTGGCTCTATCATGTGAGTTTACCATGTTTACCATATTTCTCATGTGGTTTTTGGTGGACTGTCTGTTTTAAGCGACATCCCAATTCAAAAATTATAAATAGAACAGTAAAGTTTGATTTTTCTAAAAATAGACCAATCCGCGTGGCTCCTTATTTCCCATTCGTTACCAAAAAAAATAAACAATTCTCTACACCTGGACTGCTGGGTGCCTTTGGTGTGTGTGTGTTTGATGGCAAGTTTCTGATGACATATTCTGCCACTGCTGTAAAGCAAATGAACCGTGCATTTGTAGACTCACACACGACCACCTAATTTGTAGTTATCTGTCACATATACACACGCAATCATGCTCCGCGTGCTTGCCGGGCGATCCGCCACCATCTTAAGACCACGCGTAGTACAATGTATGTGGATGTACAAAAGTATTATTTAATATCCCACGTTTGTGTAGCAAAAGTACGTACATATCCAGATATCCATGCATATCTATATATGTATATAGATACATTAGTATATATATATATATATATGTTGATATACATATATATATAGAGCTTTAAATTTATACTTGTATTATATTTTATATACTTAATCTATATATATATATATATAATTGAATTTTTATATAAATATACATTTATGTATCTATATACATATGTATGTTTATATTTATATATATTCACGTTTCTAGTATTGGCTAAGTTTATGTGTATATATTTATATATTGGTATATGTATATTGACGTATATTTTCTGTGACAAACTCTTTACTATCTGCATGGAAGCGGTGGTATTTCGTCATACTTCGGTGTCTCTCCTGCTTCTCACTCTACACACACTCGTTCTATCTTTACCTCTACAGCTGCTCGCATCACCCTTGTGAATGCACAACGTACATATGTCGATTTCAGTCGTGACAAACCCCATGTCAACATCGGTACCATTGGTCATGTCGATCACGGAAAGACCACCCTGACCGCTGCCATCACCAAGGGTATGTTGTTTATAGTGTATGTATATACGTTTTATAGTTATATAGATATATAGTTGTACAAGCATTTATTATGTACATATGCATTAGCTTACTACAAGCATTTATATATATATATATATATATGGGTGTATGTGCGCGTGTCTGTTTCTATATCTGTATTTGTTTGTCGCCTGTCTAGAAGTAGAGTGCTTGAGATGTATCACAAAATCTCTATGTACAGTGCAGTTGGCGCATTAACCAAATGTGCATCATACTGTTTTACGAACCTGATATGGTCCGCTGTTTGTGGTGCGTCAGATCAACCCATCTGTTTTCTATTGTTTCCGTGTATAGTAAGGTTGTTCCCCATCTCGTATATCGGAGAGTGTATCTATACACCTGTTGCCAATGCTCATCAGCATGAGTGGTCTGCAAGTTTTCTGGTAGTATTGGCAGTGTTTTTCGAATGCTACCAATGACATACCGCAGGCTGGTCTATCTCTACACAAACGGTTAAGTACCTGTGGGACTGGTTGTGGGCGTACTCGCTATGAGACTAACAACATACGATATAGAATGCGACTAAATTATAGTACTAATATACACGCGCTCATACTGGACTGTAGTGGTATCATCCACCACTTTGTTCAATACAGTAGTAGCAACCTTTGTTCTGAACCACCATGTAGAAATGATTCGCAGAAGGAGCTGGGGATCAATACTCGCATCGCGATCGCAAACATGCAAAGTATATCGACATGTCATGATAACTCTATTATAATACCCTTGTAACTCTATCCTAATGCCATTCTACTTAATTGTACATCCTTCCTCAACAGTCCTGGGAGAGCACAACGGAGGTACCTTCATGGACTACAACGACATTGACAAAGCCCCCGAGGAGAAAGAGCGTGGTATCACCATCGCCACAGCCCACGTCGAGTACGAGACCGACAACAGACACTACGCACACATCGACTGTCCCGGTCACGCCGATTACGTCAAGAATATGATCACTGGTGCGGCGCAGATGGACGGTGGTATCATGGTTGTGGCCGGAACGGACGGACAAATGCCCCAGACGCGCGAGCACTTGCTGCTCAGTAAACAGGTGCGTGGTGTGGCAGGACCGGGCGTGCGGTTCTCGAATCGGTTAGTGTGTGTGTTTAGAGACGTACGCGCTCATGCTGCTGAGTACATTAGTGGGTTGGTGGGGAAGTACAGGACCTTTAGAGTACTGGCACTTGCTTTGTTGTTAGTATATCAGTTCGGCGTGTGGAGTGCGTGAAGATTTTAGTCGCTGGTGCGGCACCGATGAGTTCGGCTGTCATCATTGTGACTGGTGATATGGATATCTGTTCAGCCTTGGACCCATATTCTTGAGCGGTAGGTAATTCCAGACAAGGGCTCGGTAATCCTGGGACATATACCCCAGATCTGTGAGCACTCCTTGCTTAGTATTTAGTATCACACCGTAGAGGAAAGGATTGGCAATCACAGATGCTGGCGGCAAAGACTGCCATCGCCCTTTGCACGATCGAATACATCTGCTTGATCTATATTTAGAATGGTTTTTATTGGCCGCCGTAAGCTACGGCAAGTGGGTTGTCTGCTTCTCATTGTCAAGATTAGTTTGACAATAGTTCCTATTACACTACGAGCCGAACAAACTCTATCCAACTGTTTCTACGGGTAGAGTGCGCGCGAGATTGCAAAGCAGCTCGTATCAACACAATTTGTGGACTATGTGAAATACGCCTACTGCAGTCTCACCAACCGATGCTGTATTCTTCCTCATAGTACCGTTCTTACCGGTTACTCTACTATCTAATTATATACATTTTTTTCTCTTTCATAGTACCGTTCTTACCGATTACTTTACTATTGCTTTATATACATTGCATAATTGTTTATTGTATCCTTGTTGCATGGTTCTAACTAAGCTGCATTGTTCACTCCTTCTCATCCATGGTATTCCTGTTCTTCCTACTGGTTACCTACAGGTTGGAGTAGATAAGCTAGTCGTCTTCATCAACAAAGCCGACATCGTCGACGACGAGGAGATGCTGGAGCTCGTCGAGATGGAGATGCGTGAAACTCTGACCGAGTACGGCTACGACGGTGACAACACACCCATTGTGCGTGGCTCAGCCTTGTGCGCACTAGAGGGACGTGAGGATAAGATGGGCAAGGACGCCATCATGGAGCTTATGGCTGCTGTGGATGAATGGATCCCCACCCCCGTGCGTGACCTAGATAAGCCGTTCCTTATGCCCGTTGAGGATGTGTTCTCTATTGCTGGGCGTGGCACCGTGGTGACTGGCCGTATCGAGCGTGGCAAGGTGTGCATGGTTAGGGTTGGGAGAGTGTGTGTGTGTGGGGAATGTGTGCAAGTACGTTAGAATGGGTGAGTGGGCTCTGCGCAGATGTGTGATGAGTGTTGGGTGTTTAAACACACCGATAGCTTGGGTAGATGGAAGCAATAGCAGCGGACGTTGTGGCAGTAAGTGTGTCTCCCCCCACGTGTGTGGTGGTACAGTACATCGAACGATTGCAATGAAGACATTTGAATTCCTCGTTCCGTATCAGTGGGCAGCAGTTCGCGCTGTTCTGTCTTCTAAGCCGATCGTATTCCCGAATGAGCAATCTGTCCTTGAAAGTCAAACACGCTGACTTGCACCCGAGATTCTTGTATGAATACCTCCACTCAGAGTTCGGTTGAACTTCACCTTTCAGTCTTCTCGAGCGAGCTATCTTGTTCATAGGTCATACGCTTTGCCTTGTGCGCGGTTATACCTCGTTTACGCCCACACTTTGTTCTGTACTGCCACATGGATATACACGATCACGCAACACACTAGTCAAGTGCGATAGCTAACTGCTGGTCTATGACATAGTGCCCACATGCGCATGGTTTGTCGATTGACTCCCAGATCAACGTGTGTCTGGCATTGCCGCACTTCAATATACGTCCCCTTCTCGTCACAATGTGAGCCTTTCCAATCCTCAACCCACATTCTCATACTTCATATATGGTGACTCACATTCTCATACTTCATATATGGTGCGCTCAGATCAACAAGGGTGAGGAAATCCAGATCGTTGGTAACGGCTCTGATCTCAAAACCACTGTCACTGGACTGGAAATGTTCCACAAGAACCTGGAGCAGGTATGTGACATACTGTGCAGCAAATGGTTTGTATTCAAGTCTGCTCGAATTGCACACCTAGTCTGTACACGTGTGTGTGTTTTGCATGTATATATGTAGGGAAATCATAGATGCATGCAATAGAGCAAAAGCTTGATAGACAAGGGCAACTATCGAGTAGTGGCACCGGGAGAAGAAACTATGGCCAACGGCTAAGAAACCTGCTATCTGGGCTCTTCTGGTTCATACCTATACGGATTGAAATATTTGCAGTACGTGACCGGTCTAGTCTATATATCGTTGGCCAACGGCGAAGAAACCTGCTATCTGGGCTCTTCTGGTTCATACCTATTCGGATTGAAATATTTGCAGTACGTGTCAGGTCTAGTCTATATATCGTTGGCCAATGGCGTGAGAGCGGGATTTCTATTTTAGGCTTATGTAGGTAGCGTTCCTATTTTAGACCTATGTAGGTATCCTCCTGTGTGTGTCGAGTTTGGTTGTCTTGCACACAGCCGCGGCACTCGATTGCAATGAAGGCATTTGAATTCCTCGTTCCGTATCAGTGGGCAGCAGCTCGCGCTGTCACTGCCTTCTAAGCCGACCGTATTCCCGAATGAGCAATCTAGTGTACTATGCAGTACAGGTTTAATTAATAGGCAATCTAGTGAATTATACAGTACATAGTGTCGTGGCAGCGATGCAGGCTTGACATCCTTTGCACACACTCACTCCCATGGCCATATCCCGGCAACAGTTGCCGTTCCCTTCTCATTCATATAACGCCCCGTGTTACGGCGCACCAATCACATGGTGTGCACACGATCAACAGCAATAGACACATCCTGTACCAAATGCGATTCACAGTCACCTGCTGAAGCGACTATTACGGGACTATCTAGCTCACATCAGAAGGAAGCGTAGGCTGTCTACGCTACCTTTTTAGCCTAGTTACACGTGTCTTCTATCACCTGTTACACATGTCTTCTATCGCCTCTCCCTCACCACAGTCAAAGCGGGATGTCGCTCACAATCAACGACGAGTGCACTATAAAATATTGCTAACGGGCACACTCAGCCATATCACCGGGCAATGCTCACAGTCACAGATCACTCTCTATCACCAGCTAGTACTGATTGTCATGTCTTTGTCACATACCATCCCCTCGCAGGGTATTGCCGGAGACAATCTCGGCGCTCTTGTGCGTGGTCTTAAGCGTGAAGAGATCACGCGTGGTATGGTCATGTGCGCACCCGGCACCGTCACCACACACAAGAAGTTCCAGGCCGAGGTCTACGTGCTGACCAAGGATGAGGGTGGTCGACACACGCCATTCGTCAACAACTACAGGCCACAGGTGCGTAGTATGTCGTGCTAGGTGTTGTCGTGTGCATGTTTATCTAGCTGTGGTACTACTCGTATTGGGAGTTGTCGTGTGCATGTTTGTTTAGTTGTGGTACTACGCGTATGGAGAGAGAGAGCGTTACGGTTCAATTACGGAGCTATTTATGCGAGTTGAGCGATGTGTTTGGGCTTGAGACATGGCATTGTGCACACATGCGTGCACAGTCTTGAATTTTCCGTGTGGAGAGACCTTGTGTATAGATATGGGATGGTTTTTGCATTCCACCTGGCGCGTGTTCGTATGCGCACACGTGTGTATGCATATGCACACGGCACCTGATGAGGTGGCGATGTTCGTACTGTCCCTAGATCAAGGGAACTGTTTATGTCTGCACCGTGCTCTGCTACACTACCCCCCAGATTCGGTGCAACAACGGTTTATACATTGTTTGTATTAGTGTACTGTCGTTGCTGTTGGGGATTTAATGTTCCGTGTATATCGTTGTTGGGATATATAGCATCGGTGCAACAACGGTTTATACATTGTTTGTATTAAGAGTATTATCGTTGCTGTTTGGAATTTAATGTTTCGTGTATATCGTTGCTGGGATATATAGTAGCGTCTTTAGGATTGGCGGGTAACAGACACGCCAAGCGTACTACTCCGTTGCCATGCAACATACGTCATGGTTAGAGCCGGCCTTCGTTCCAAAGACTCGCATAGAGCAATTAACACTTGGCTGTATATGAATGGCCTGTACATTTCTCGCCACTCTACCCTCGCATACACTGGTATACTCGTCCTATGTCATTCATGAGAGCTATCAGATGCATGCGAGTATTCATTCTCATAGTTTTCTAAGTAGATGGTATTCGGTGTCCGTGTGGTGCTAAGCTCAGTATAGCACTCACCTTTGACTGACCTATGGCAAACCCCCTGCAGATGTACTTCCGCACCGCCGACACCACGTGTTCCGTAACTCTTCCCGAGGGCACTGAGATGGTGATGCCTGGAGACAACACCTCATTGGTAAATCATATCATGGTCTTAACAGTCCTCACTCAAAACTACCGCTCCTTATGAAATGCAAGTGCACGCGCTAATAGCATACACATGCCGGCCTGTCCGTTCATACGGGCGTGGTGTGGGTGGCCTGTGATAGACGTGGACTGGCACGTATCCAAAGTGTATCCTATCCGACAGTGACTGTGTGTGTGGCACTGTTGTAGTTGGTGTGTTTCTGCACTACATACACACAACAATCGAGTCGACCCAATGCGGGGGCTCTGTGATGGGCTGCGCGCACGTGAGGGCATAACGCTCCTGCACCTTGCGACGTGTCATGAGTGAAGTGTGTCGAATATAGTGTTGAAAACGTGGTATAGGTGTGTCGTATCACACAAAGGCGCGTGCGCAGACATCGCAGTCTCCATTGCCCCGCATACGTGCACACGCCAGCACAGGTTGTGTCTGCTCCAGTAAGTGCAAAACTCGTACCCGGGCACTTAAATTTACGATACTGAATGATGTTTTATTATCTGATCCAAGACTTTATGTACTCGACCGCTTATTAAGAAAGGTATGACTTCTGTGCTCAGTCAGAGAATCTGCAAGTAAGTATTTTTTTTTATCCTGTAACCATGGCATCTACCCACTCTAAAACTATACCTTGTTTACGTAACAGACTGTGGAGCTGATCAAGAGTGCCCCCATCGATCTTGGTATGCGTTTCACCATGCGTGAAGGTAACAAGACCATCGGAACCGGAGTCGTGACCAAGGTGATCACCTAAATATACCTTGGCAACGAATGAATAAAGTATACTTCTATCCGACATTATTTTTTTTATGAATATATATGTATATAGTTTACTTTGTATTGAATTAAGACATCTTCAGTACATTTTACGTTGTATTGAGTAAACACATCCTTGGTATAGTTCCACTGTATAGAGTTAGCATATCTTTAGTATAATTTACTTTGTATTGAATTAAGACAACTTCAGTATAGTTTTACCCAATAGAGTTACCACATCTTCAGTATAATTTATGTGGTATTGAGTAAACACATTCTCAGTATAATTGCACTGTATAGAGTTAGCATACCTTCAGTATATTCTACTTTGTATTGAATTGAGACATCTTCAGTACAACAGAGTTACCACATCTTCGGTTTAATTTAAATGGTATTGAGCAAACACATCCTCAGTATAGTTGCACTGTACTGGGTGCTGTACTCGATCCGGTGTGACTATTCAAGTTCAACTGCTATGGACGGAACGACCTTAACAGAGGGGTTTGGTAACAGCTGATCTTCATCACATTGGCAACTCCTTAGTAGGTGCCGCCCATGGTGTCTAGTATATATATATATATATATATACTTACTATCTATCTATCTATATATATATATACATATATATATATAGATAGATAGATAGTTTTGGTAAAATGGTCATTTATTTATTTTAGGGAGCGGCGCTTTGTCTTCCAGTTTGAGCTGATACATTTGAACTTTTCTCACTGGCTGTCTCGACCAATTCGTGTGTCACTCCAAGTTCGGTACACCTGTGTATGGGACGACACACCTCGCGACTCTGCGATTGACTAACGTAAAAGTATTATTTAGCATAGTACTCCATACAGGAATTGATTCCCTGCATGCACTAAGCGTGTGTAGAATTATAAACTCCTTTAAAGTGTGTTTCAACACTTGTATAGCGCTTAACTATTTATATATACACGTGCATATGTATAGATGCTGTATCGATTTAAATATTTATATATATACATTTATATGTATAGATGCCTAAGTGTATCGGTCACTGCTACTACGTGTTCAAAGCAGCCGCCATCCTTCTAATCTGAAGATCGCCCATGAGTTCTGGGTCCAGTTGTTCGATGGAGAGACCCTTTTCGTTCGCCAGATGGAGCAGGCACACGAATGAGATGGGCACAGACACATCTCGCGACTGATTGGTAGAGAGTGTGCTTTGTACCTGTTGACAGACACTCTGCGGATGAAAGACCAGGGACGATGGAAAGAGATACATTAGTCCACAGTAGAATGCGGGGAGAGACAGGAAACGGCCAGCGAAATTCTCATTGGAAGCTGATATTATCTTGCACGCACGCACTCACACACACACACACACATATATATATATATATATATATATATATATATATATATATATATATATATATATATATATATATATATACTATATTGAAGTAAAGAAGATCGGCCGTATGAATGAGACTAAGAAGTAGACCAACCACGCAACCAAAGCTGTCAACCATGTGACACTTCGGGCCCAAACAAGGGACGCAACAGCTATCACAACACCGTTAACGCATTGATCTGGAACGTCAGTTGTGTTACATACCGGTGAGAGTTTTCCAGATGCTTAGTGGCCACCCACATTGTTGACTCGTACGCAAACGATTACAAGACTACTATGCATACACGTACACACGCATTCACACCGTGTCACGGTTGAATACGTACCTTGAAACTTATATCTTGGCCTGTCTGGTTGTTGTCGGCCTCATTCTCTTTGTTCTGATCACCGCCTTCGGCCTCAGGTGTATCATTGGGGGGCTTGTCGGTGTTGATTTGGCTCCAGAGTTTCTTTTTCAGCATTCGTACGTCCACCTGCATTGGGGATGGTAGTGTATGTCAATGTATACATAAACAGGAAAAACCCCCAGGGTAGAATATGAAATGATACGAATGACACTGATCGAAGGATACGCGATGTCGCTATATATATTTATAGATATATATACGCGCTAAATTTAGTCGAACTATTGACGTTTATGATACATACCAATGCATTTTGTTGCTATCATACATATATACACTCCGGATAATCTTGAATAGTACGTCTGATGTAGGTACATACATATGTAACGTATTCCACGAACGCACACATATGAAGTTCAGTGGATGTGGTACCTGTTTGGCTGTACGCGCATAGCCAATGTTTATCCGTCCAACCGTCTTTGGCGGTTCCACCAGATCTAGGTCGTCGAAACCCTGACAGGGTTTTCGAGAAAATAGGACGAGGAAAATTGGTATACCTATTTAGTAGCAAAATTATGCGAGTGCTATTGACGCGCAGGCTTGGGAGATAACAGAGGTCAAAGAGGTGTCATCGTTTCATAGTCGAACGGTACAATACGCCGTAACATATTTGCTAGCCTCTGAAACGGAGATCAATGATTAGTCACTACGTGTATCGAATCAGAAGGTCCAGATATTCCCGATTTGAACCGTTACAATATATCCTGCCCTGATTTGGCATTTGAACCCAATCCTAAAACTGGCAAACCCCACCGACCAAGTGCAATTAAGGATGACTGTCCACCCTGATGTGACCCTATCCAGATAAAGTCAGTCTCACACTTGTATGTGGGAGTACTACGAAGTATCTTGCATATTTAGATATACCTAACCAGTCAAATCTCAAAGTAACTCAACGGGACTATGTGGTATTGGTACAAACTATCGTCCACACTCACCCGCCCAGCTAGCCCTGTAATTATTTAATACACTTATATTTATATGATTTATACAAGCAACGTCGCTGCTGCAACTAAACGTGCCACCTACCAGGTCAAACTTAGGCAGTCGGTCGACTCTGATGTGATCCTGTACATCCTCTGTAAAGCCATCGAAGCCGCTCACATCGTCGTCATCATCCATTCCTAAGCCCATCATACCTGGACACGGGATTAGAAACAATATAGTGTGCTCAGAGAATATAGTGAGAGAATATAGTGTGCTCAGAGATTAGAAACAATATAGTGTGCTTAGAGATTAGAAACAATATACTGTGCTTAGAAGGACAGGAGAAAAGGTGTGCAGCACTTTGGTTACATGGGTCGATCGCAAAACTAGTAATATACATACATATGTACATACATACGCACATGCATACAAGCGCACATGTATACATACGAACTAACAAACAAACAAACATACATACATACATACATACATACATACATACATACATACATACATACATACATACATACATACATACATACATACATACATACATACATACATACATACATACATACATACATACATACATACATACATACATACATACATACATACATACATACATACATACTTACTTAAATACATACATACATAAATACATCCGGACACTTTGTCAATGTATATACCCCAGTCTAAGCCAAAGTCTAAACAGGAGCCTGCGTTGATATATGTCAGGGCGATAGATAGATATACAGAAAGCCAACGATGCAAAGCCAACGATGCACAAGAGTAGTAGCAATACACGCATATCGCAGCTCTGATTATTTTCGTCGTTGCCAAAGAAACCGTTCATCACGAGCATACACATTTTTTTTGCATAGCGTTATGATTTTCGTCGTTGCCATAGAAACCGTTCATCACGACCATATACAAGAATATTTGTATAGCGATATGATTTTCGTCGTTGCCATAGAAATTGTTTATCATGACCATACACAAGAATATTTGTATAGCGTTATAAACACTTATGTCTGATAATTATCGTCGTTGCCATAGAAATTGTTCATCATGACCATACACAAGAATATTTGTATAGCGTTATAAACACATATGTCTGATAATTATCGTCGTTGCCATAGAAACCGTTCATTATGACCATACACAAGAATATTTGTATAGCGTTGTACACCCATATGTCTTACCATTATCGTCCTTGCCATAGTCGCCCTCCCCGTCGCCCACATCTCTGCAGTAGTCATTGTCTCTTTGATTGTCATAGTTGTATACCATCGTGGTCGTGCCCAGCACTTGGTCTGTGGATGTATGTGTGAACGCGTTAAAAATTATCCGAACGCGTGTACAGGTCATAACCCGTTGAAGGGATGAGGCTATGCGCAGGTGTGATAAAGAGTGCCTGTTCCAAGTGGAAGAAAGCCTGTAGTCGCTAAAACAGGGATTGCCATGGTTGTACATCATAGTAGGTGTACTAAGCACTCGGGGTCTGTGAGTGATA